TTTATTTTTGTCAATTTGGAAAATCCCACCACTATTTGAATCTGCAGATAAAGCACATTTGTCTGGTGCTCTATTAGAGTTTGGGAAGCAAGGCCTTTAAGGAAAGAGAATGTTGACGACCAAAACCTTGCTTGGATATGTTTTAGAGAATTTCAGTGATTTGAAAAGAACGCTTTCTTTGATTCACTCTTTAAAACTATTAAAGGACCATGATTTTGCTATTGTGGATGTTGTTTCATGAATTGCTCATTTTCCTCAGCAAGCTAGGCATTGTGAACAAACGAATGAGATCAGTAAATGTACTTATGTTTATGGACTAACAAAATCAAGTCATGTGAGGACAAACCAAAGAATTTGTGAGTGATGAAGGCTTGGCCTCTCAATCACTGTTTATCAAGGGTCTTCACAGATGGGAAGAGGAGGAGATCTATGGTGTGGAATCATCATCAACACTCTTCCTGCATCAGAGGCACACACAGATTAACACTGCAATTGCAGTTTTCTGATAGATGGTTCTTAGTGACCAAGCTTCTGTTTAGGACCCAGATACTCTATTTACTAAAGACAGTACATGAAAAATCATATGTGTGTAAGATTATCATGTGTATAGTTTTCACTTTCCCAAGTATTTTCTTTCATGTGTCACATTTAAAACTCATGCCAACCCTATAAAAGAAAGCTGTTCACTTAACTCTTTTCCTGATGTACACACGTGGAAACCAAGGCTCTTGAGTGAGTGACTCAGCAGGATCATACTATTGGTAAGTAATAAATTCAGGCCTTTCAATTCTTGAGCTATTGTTCTTGCCATCTTTCCCAAGATGTTTGGTGACTTGAATCCGGAACCCCATCCTCCTCTCTTTTCAGGTTTTGACTCACTCTTTCTTTAAAATTGTGTTCAAAATTCTTCCACAAGGGGCCATTTCAGAAAGCCTAGATAGTTGTGCTGGGTCCATGCCTTTCAACAACTTGTTTCCAGTATCTGCTTTCCATCTGTTGTGTTCTCTATTTTCTAGTATTTATTATCATATTTCAGTATGAATTTTTTTAAACATTTATTTCTTTTTGGGAGAGCGCAAGTGAGGGAGGAGCAGAGAGAGATGGGGACAGAGGATCTGAAGATCTGTGCTGACAGCAGTGAGTCCCATGTGGGGCACAAGCCTATGAACCAGGAGATCATGACCTAAACCAAAATCAGCCGCTCAACTGACTGAGCCACCCAGGCACCCCCCAGTATGAATTTTAGCTTTACTCTATTGGTTTGCTTTCTGCTTTTTATTTTCCCTTCATATTCTATGTAAATCCTTTTTATTATTAATGGTACTGCCTCTTTTAGACATTTACAATCTTTTAAAATAATATTCACAGAATAGTAGTTTCAAGCTTTTGTGTGCATAAGAATGACCTAGGGAGCTTATGAACAATGGATTTCTAAGTACTTTTCCCATAGGTCCTCATTCTGTGTGTCTGGGGTCAGGTCCAGGAATCTACATTTTAAATAAGCACCTCAGAGGATTCTGATGTAGGTGATCGAATGGCCAAACTTTCAGAAACCCTGCTTTTGAGAATTAAAAACTAGACTGTCATGTTCTGTCCATCTATCCTGTGCTCAGTAGGGCATATGGAAGTATAGAATAACTGAGTTCTTGGTCTTTCAGTGTTTACAAACTTTTATGGGAGGAAGAGTGTAGCTCCATCTCCAATGGTATGTGATGATGGGGCATGTGAGTGACATAGACAATAAATGCTTTGGCAACATAGAGAAAGAAGGGAGACAAAACTGGCCAGATGATCGTAAATGCCTTCATAAAAGATAGGGGTTGAGCTGAGGTTTGAAGAGAAGATAGGTTTCAACCAGATGGAAAAACGATTATCTCGAGATGTTGGAAAAGTAAAGACTGAGGGTCAAGGAAGCACAACTACTTCTAGGGGATCAGTATGTGGAATGACATGTCTGACCTGAAAAAAGAGTTTGTGTAGAAAATGGTGGTATTTATGCCTTGAAAGATAGGAGCTAGCTTGAAGACAGCTGGAATTTGGAATCTATTCTGTAGGTACTGGTGGTTCTTCAAACGTGACTACGATACAGTGTTTTTAAGTTAAAAAAAATATATATTTATTTTTCTTTTATTATTTCAAAAATTTTTAATGTTTATTCATTTTTGAGAGACAGACTGCAAGCAGGGGAGGGACAGAGAGAGAGGTACACACAGAATCTGAAACCAGCTCCAGGCTCTGAGCTGTCAGCACGGAGCCCAACATGGGGTTGGAATTCACCAACCATGAGATTGTGACCTGTGCTGAGGTTGGATACTTAACCGACTGAGCCACCCAGGTGCCTCTAAAATTTTTATTTATTTTGGGGGGGAAGGCGCAGAGAGAAAGGGAGAGAGAGAATCCCAAGCAGTTTCCACACTCATTGCAGAGAGGCATACAGGGCTCCATCTCACCACTGTGAGATCATGACCTGAGCCAAAATCAAAAGTCGATGCTTAACAGACTAAGCCACCCAGGTGCCCCTATAAACAGTGTTTTTAAAGGCTGATCTGGCAGTGAAGTCAAGAGCACTGAACTACATGGTCGGTTGTGCAAATTTTGAGAAGGCCTGGTCTGGCCATTTGTGAAGGTAGATTCAACATGGTCTGGAGCTTCAGTGGCTTTTCAAAGCTGCTGCTTACGTTTGAACCTCCCTGACTGGGAGAATTGTATATAGTTTCACCACTCTTGATCTGAGGAAGGAAATGTTTTGAGGTAGTTTGGCTCTGGATCTAGAATCCAACTTCCTGATCAAAGTTGGAATCTTCTGCACATATCCATCAGGTACTTTTGCTTAAACAGATAAACAGCACGTATTATTATCAAGTCAAAAGGAAAATGTCTGCAGCTCATGGGACAAGGAATGGATTTGGGCCACCACCGCAAAACCAAGCCAAAGGGAGACAATGTGCTCGCTTATCTAATTTTAAAAATTTTCCAGTCTTAAATTTAGGCTTAAAATATTTTTATACTCTTTTCACTCTACAAACGTTTATCCATTTTTTCTTAAACGGCAAAACAATTTCTGAATTTCCTTTAGTACTTTCTAATAATTTGGGTAGTGAGAGTCTTATAATAGGGTGGAGAACATTTAGTTCCCTTCACATACTTCTCATACAAATCAATTCACTTATTTTTATTAAGCATCATGATACGCAAAGCACACACACACAAAACTTAACTTTAATAAGTTTAAACTTTAGTCGTTAATCTCCAAGGAAGAGAGCACAATGAATGTAAATGGCAAGCTCCCAAATCCAGAAGCCACTGATGAGCGAATTTGTACTCATTCTGTTGGAAAAACTGAAGGCCTCTGGCTGAAGAAGGGGTGAAAATTAGTGGGATACTAACTTGGGCATGAGAAACCTCTTCTTGGACGGTGTGAATATAGAGAACTCTTTGAAGCTGGAGATGCTAGACTGCCCACACTAGGCGCGAGAACAGTTCTCGGAACCACGGTGCCTGAACCACTCAAGAGCTACAAATCTATTCCGCAACTACCAATTATGCGGTTTGGGGCCAGTGGAGGCTCCAAGGCCCGCCCAGGGTTCCTGTGCCTAACTCAGACTGGACCGGCTCACTTCCTCGCCCGCCCGGGGCCCTTCGCCTGTCAATCCCCTTCGCCTGTCAATCCCCTGCCCTTTTCCCCCACCCGACTTCTGCTCCGCCCACTTGAGTGATGTAACTCCTGGCGTTCTTTCCCGCCGCAGATCTCAAACTCTCCACCAGTCGCTTCAGCTCCTCATTGGCCAGCAGAGAGGACAGGGAAGGGAAGGGACCTACCACATTGCTCTCTAAACTACCCACTCTAGTTTTCTGGTCTTCTGATAGGCCGTCAGGAGAGCAAGTAGAGCCTAGGCTTGTCGCGCAGGCGCGCAAAGTCCCTCGCTGGTGGCGGGGCACCTCTCCTCCACCACAAGAATTCATCGCGCTGTTGTGACGTAAGCGGCGCACGGCTTGCCGTCTTCACTTACGATTGGTTGTAGCAGAAGTCCGTCACACAACCACGCCCCATTTCTCTGCCTAACCTCTCAGCTTAACGAGAGAGGAGGGAGGCCACGCCTCACTCCGTTCCTGCCGCTTAGCCCTGCGATTGGCTGAGGGAACTGGCATGTTTTCCCACCCCCTACTCCCTCCCGAACGTCCGAGAGGCTGGTGGGACCCTGCGGAAGTTGTCAATCTCCTCCTTCCCCACCCCCCGCAAGGCCCCTCCTCCGGGCCGCGCGCCCTAGCGCGCGCGCACACGCACACACATTCCCCCCCCGCAACCCCTGCGTGCACCCTCCACCTTCTCAAGTTGTAGCGGTCGCTCGCTGGGGTTCTCCGTGGGCGGCGGAAGGGCGCGTGGGGGAGGGGGCTTGGACAGCTCCGAGCCTTGAGAAGCGAGTGTGTGCGCGCCCAGAGCCGGGGCGGCGGGTCACCGCCCCGGGAGATGAGGGTCCGGCGCTGACAGGGAAGAGCGGGCGCAGCGGAGGCGGCTCGGAGGGGACCCGCGATGGCAGCGCCTCGGGAGGAGGCTCCAGGCAGGGCTGGCTGCGCTGGCAGCGGCCACTGAGGGGCCAGCCGGCCGGCTGGCGAACTGGGCTGAAGAGCAGAGAGGCGCGCTCGGCGTCCGCACCCCCGCGCCCTCGCCTCAGTTGTCCAAACTTCAGGCTCTCTTCCACCCGCCCTCCGCGCCCGAAGTCAACAACTTCTTCACCCCCCTCCGCCCCCGCCCTTGCCTCCGTCAGCCCCGGGAGGTGGCCGCGCGGCGGGGACCAGGAACCCCCGGCACTGAGATGTGGCCGTGAGGCGGCAGCGGCGGGGAGAAGCTCGGCGGCGCCCCGGAGCGGGAGGGCGGCGCGGCCGGGGGGGACGGGGCGGAGGGGCGCGAGCTCTCCGCGCCTCTCCCCCGCCTCCTCCTCCTGCCGCTGCCCGTTCCGTGCTTGCAGCAGCCGGAGCTGCCAAGCGCCAGGGCCGCGGCGATGTCGTCGTCGTCGCCGCCGGCGGGGGCTGCCAACGCCGCCGCCATCTCGGCCTCGGAGAAAGTGGACGGCTTCACCCGGAAATCGGTGCGCAAGGCGCAGAGGCAGAAGCGCTCCCAGGGCTCGTCGCAGTTCCGCAGCCAGGGCAGCCAGGCGGAGCTGCACCCCTTGCCCCAGCTCAAAGGTAACCTCGGAGGGTGCAGCCCCGGGAGGGAGCGCAGGGGCTCGCCCCCGCGCCGTTAGAGCCATTTCCTCCTGGGGTTTCCTTCTGCGCCGGTGGGGCTCGTAGTGTGAGCGGTGTTTCCACTGTTGCCTCCCCCGAACCCCGCTCGATTCAAACAGGTTTGGTGTTCAGAGTCTTGCTTCTTCTCCCTGATTCACCTGAACTCTTCCCTTCCCTAGAGGCTGCCAACCCTCCTCCCCACCTGCGCGCTCGCTCACCTGCCCTTGCGATTGCAACTCTCCTGCGTCTCTCGAGGTAGTTTCTTCACTCTTCCTCCGGGCTTGTCCTTCCCCTCGTGGCTTCAACAGCCTGCCCTGCCTTCCGACCTGTAGTCTCTCGGAGACCCTCCTCCGCTTTTCAGACACTTTCAACTTCTTCTTTACTTTTCCAGTTACCAAGTTTCTGCTCCCACCCTCTCCTCACCTCCCCTTCCCATTGATCTTTCCTAAGAGTCACGCTGACCGGGATCTCTAGGCAATCGTAATGCAAACAGCGGTCAGGAGTTAGCTGGTCTTCAGATGTATTTATAAGAACAAGCCTAAAAATCAGACTAGTGTCTTATTTACTGGGTCGTTAGGTTTAGATGGTATCGTTAACTCAAAGTATAGAAAGACTTAAAATACTTTATTGCCTAAGAAGATACACGCGGTAAATTTGGAGAAGTATAAAAGAGTAAATGTTGCTTTGCAATGGAATGGGAACTTAGTTCGCGAAGCAGGGATTCCAGGGAGGAATCTACAGTAGGTTTGTAGGTTTGTACAGTAGTTCAAATTCGTATCCGTGCCTAATGCTTTACAGGAGAACTTAGCACTTCTTTTGGCTCACTTTTACTACTAGATTTAAAGGATATTTAATAAAGTGTTTCCTGGTGGTCTAGTTTATTGTTTGTGCGTTACTCTTTTAATTTTATAATTTTAATGTCTTCACTTTTTACGAGCTAGAAATTGTCTGGGAATAAGATGATAATGCTCCTAGACATTTAAAACAATTCTTATAAAAAGAAACCTGATACAAATCTAGATAATTTGCTTTGCAAGATCTGGAAGATAAAGATTCATACTAAAATAGATAAATGTTCAGATTTTTCAATCCATTTCATCTCCTTCAAGGATAATCTGGTTCTGCTTTGTCTTCGGACCTATGAATCCAGCCTTAGTTTGGCTGAGAGTCTAAAGAAAACCCCAGATCAAATCACAGTTGACCTACAGTAGATCTGGAACTCCATTCAGACCCTATACTGCCCCGTCTCTAAGGTTCTTCTAAATCAAGAACATTCCACAACCAGAATCAAACTGGCTTTTGAAAGAAGGTTTCATTTATGATATGTGTAGCTTGTGTTGCTGCATTTATCATTTGTTCTTTAGCATGAAAAAATTGTTAAAATTTACACATCATAGTCAATGGTAAACCACAATGGTAGGCATTACCAACATTTTAATTCTTGAGTGATGTCATAGCTATAAAAGAATATCATCTTACCTCTTAGGACATTGTATTGCTGTTCATGGATTTTAAAGTGTAAAAAATAAAGCAGTGATATAAAAATCAAAGCTGTGAAAGTTAAAACATTTTTTATTGTTGATTTTTTTCCATTAAATTGTCAAGTTATTTTTTATAGGTTGAAGGTTTACTGCTAGCATTATTCATACTTAATAAATTTGGTTTTTAGTAAGGTATTGTGGATCCTTAGGGTTATCTTTATTAATATAATACTTCTATGTAATAAAAATAATGGCATATTTAACATAGTAGATCAAGCTAGGAAGTGCAGTTTTAATACACTTTTAATACAGTTTTTAAAAGCTTGGCAAAAATATGCAGAGTCAGTAATCCTCTATGTTATATGTACATAGTTCAACAAGTTGAAGGTGCCATTGAATGTTTTATTTATAGTATTTTGTCACTAGCAGAGAAAAAATAAAATTAGAACTTTAGATAACAACTGTATATTTAACATGAAAATATAGTGTTCTTTAAAAGGAAAGTTAGGTATTCAAGATAAATTTATGCACATTTAATTGTGAAATAAGACCCTTTCTTGGATTACCCACTAATAATAGCTACTTTTACTCCAGATGCCAGAATGCGTGAAAAGTGCTTTTTTAAAAAATTCAGTTGCTTCACATGGTACTTTGGCAGTGTACTTGATACTACAGAGTTGTGTGCTTTTTCTGTAGTAATTTTTTCCATTTGTGGTCTTAACAACAACCAATGGAAAGCCCTTTAGTATGTGTTTGAAAGAGAATTTTTCTTTCTGCTCTGAAATACAATCTTCCTGTGGAGAGATTCAGATATTTGTGGACAACCGAGATCTTTCAAGTGTTTATACTAACCTGCTTATGTTACACTTTGTCCACATGGATCTAAACTGGAAAGGTGCCAGCTATTTTCCTCAAAGCATACTATGGGTAAGGATTAGCAAAATAACCCAACTTTTTCATCCATAAGAAGTTTATTTGTGCAAAATCATTTAGTAAGTAGGTTGCAGGATTTTAAGGGGGAAAATGTTAAGAGAAAACTCTGTTTTGTTATAGGACATGTTTAATAAAAAAGCCTTGTTAAAAGGATTTTTTAAAAAAGAGACACTGGCTCAGTCGGTTAAGCGTCCGACTTCAGCTCCTGTCATGATATCACGGTGGGTTCAAGCCCTGCATCTGGCTCTATGCTGACAGCTCGGAGCCTGGAGCCTGCTTCTGATTCTGTGTCTCCCTCTCTCTCTGCCCCTCCCCTGCTCACACTCTGTCTCACTCTGTCTCTCAAAAATAAATAAATGTAAAAAAAAAAAAATTTTTTTTTTTTAAAGAGAAACTGTTACGTGGGTTTTGAAAATTAAACTGCCTTACTGTATAGCTTAAAAACATTTTTTTTTCAAAACACTTTTGAATTTTCTTATGTTAATTGTGTAAGTTCCCCCTGAGAACTAGGTACTAGAAATAAAAGTAGCATTTCATGAATCAATTTTTTTGTTTTTAAATTTAAGTTCGTATAGGACTTAATTTTTCTACCTTAGACTTTTCCTTTAGTAACCAAGTTAGGAAACTTCTAACCTTGAAAGAATATGTTACTCACAATAGGAAGTTTTTCAGCTTATTTTAACCTGTTTCGTCTCTGGAAGAATTTGTTTACTGGTAAAGTAGTAGTTGCCTGACATTTATATAACCCTTAGCATTTACAAATTGTTTCATACTTTGCTTTATTTCTGTAATTATAAAAACAGTATTGTGTATAATTAGTGAAACAGTCCAAAGATGTATAACTCCTAATCCCTGACATCCCTTGCTTTTTCACACTTACTAAGGAAATGCTGTTGTGTGACAAGCCATAGCTCAGTGTATTTTTACAAACATATTTCATCAGGTCATCTCAGCAGCTCTGTGCAAAACCAGTATTATTCACATTTTATTGACAAGAAAAGTTGAGGCTTATGCAGCTAATTTCAGGCCTGTGATTATTTATCTGGTGTAACAACTGATACCGGTACTCAGGTCAAAGGATTTCAGTATTTATGCTGTTAACCTGTTTCATAAAAATTTGAACTAGTATGATAGAGGTGGGTCATTGGGGCAGTCCAGGGTCAAAGGTAAATTTTTAATCTTTCTGAGTTATTTTCCTTATCTGTAAAATGGGGATAATACCTTCTCTCTCCCCAGGATTGTAGGGAATAAGTGAAATAATGTAATTAAAATGTCTAAAAATAGGCAAAGAATGTTAACTCCCATTGTCTTTGATATTTGAAAATCCAGATTAAAAATATGTTTTATTTTTTTACTTTGTTAAAAAAAATTTTTTTTAGCGTTTATTAATTTTTGAGAGACAGAGCGTGAGCAGGGGAAGGGCAGAGAGAGAGGGAGACACAAATCTGAAGCAGGCTCCAGGCTCTGAGCTGTCAGCACAGAGCCCAATGCGGGGCTCGAACTCACAAACTGCAAGATCATGACCTCTGAGCCTAAGTCAACCGCTTACCCAACTGAGCCACCCAGGCGCCCCTAAAAATATTTTTTAAATGAAAGATTCACATAAATAGTAAACTTTTCTGGGGACTTAAAGTTTGATTTTATTTATAATCAGTTTGCAGATATGATTTATGTGAAGTAAGATGAAGCTATATCATTTTTCAGCATTGGTGTAGAAGTGGAAATAGGGTAGAATTAAACTGTTTAAAATATTAAAAGCGTAGCTACAAGATTTTTACCAGGCAAAGACATTGAATTAATTAACCAGTAGAATTGTATAGATGTGCATTTCTCCTACAGGAAGCAGTAAATAGCAAAGAACAGAATGAAACTGGCTTTGAGATTTAAGTGAAGAACTTCCTAAGTTATCACTCAGATTCTTGGTTGGTATATTCTTAGAAACTGGGTCCCACTGGAGGTATCCAGGCCAGTAACAGTGATGCTGATTTGAAGTGCCTTGCTTACCTTTAGGGAAAGATATTTTTTCCCCTTGAGGTATGTGGTCTTTTAGGGTAACTGGAACAAGAACACTGACATGATCTGAAGTTTTATAACTACCTTAACTTTCTTGTGGGGGAGACATTATTAACTCTTTTTAATGTTTAAAGGTCTTCTCAAAGTTAATATAATTTTCTCTAAACCCAAAACCCCTTTTTATAGTTGGGTTGGCCCTAAAGGAGAGTTGAAATTCATCTGAATGTATCAAGAGAAGTGTTTGTTTGCAAAGGCATATGACATTTTTGTCATTTTAGGACTGTTTTCTGAAAATAATGCTGTATCTTCTGGAAGACTTATTTTTTAATTAAAAAAGTTTTTAAGGATATACTTAGAGAAATTGATAATCTGGTATCCATTGCTGTCTTTCATGTGAAATTATACAGACTTAATTCTCCAATTAAGTCTAATTTAACATCTTCAGAATTCCTATTTAGGGTCAAATTCCTTTTCCCCCCAAATTTATTACCTATTCTGATTCTTAATTGAATTTTGGGTTATTTTATGAAGTGT